ACGGGTTATGTCGGGATTGAAAAGAAAAAAGCTCCTTGGGTTATGCCAGGGAGGTCCACGGGTTATGCCGGGATTGAAAGAAAAAGGCTCCTCGGGTTATGCCAGGGAGGTTCACGGGTTATGCCGGGATTGAAAGAAAAGGCTCCTTGGGTTATGCCAGGGAGGTCCATGGGTTATGTCGGGATTGAAAGAAGAAAAAGGCTCCTTGGGTTATGCCAGGGAGGTCCACGGATTCTTATATTCAGGAGCCCGACNGGGTTATGCTAGGGAGGTCCACGGGTTATGCCGGGATTGAAAGAAAAGGCTCCTTAGGTTATGCCAGGGAGGTCCACGGGTTATGCCGGGATCAAAAGAAAAAAGCTCCTTGAGTTATGCCAGGGAGGTCCACGGGTTATGCCGGGATATCTAGGGAATGGGGCCCTATGCTACCATGATTTTGGATTTTTTTAAGGCATAAAATGCAAGGAAGAATTTGGGGGGAACTTCCCTTTTTGTTCTGTTCCCTGCTGCAAAGCTGTTTCAGCGCTTGCGCATTTCTTTTCCTTTTTGGTTGCACCTGCTTTTTGCACAGTTGCTTGGATTGCACCTGTTTCAAATTTTCAAACAAAGAACAATTGTTAGTTTGAAACGGTGGTTGGTTTTGTGGCCTTGATTGTCTCAATTGCTTGATCTCGGCCCAGTTCCTGTTGAGAACCTCTGCTGCTTGCTGGTTTTGAAGATGAATCTCTTTCTCAAACTGAAAGGCTCAACTTTTGGGATTTCATGACGACTCGCCTGCGTGGGGCTTCGACCCTTTCACTTTATTCTGCCCATAGGACCTTTGTCCTTGACTTTCTTTCCTTCTTAAATAACTTTGATTTCAGAGCATCAACCATCATGGCCAGTCGGGACTGGCTTGATGCACCCGCTGAGGATGGGTACTTTTCTTTAGCTTTCGTTAGGGAGAGCCTTGTAAAGTCAGTCCTGCCACCTTTTCTTTGTATTAGTTTCGGGAACAGAGTTAGACCGAAAGGGATTTCAAGGAAAAAGTAGACAAAAGGCGAGAAAATGAATTTAAAGAGAAGCGTCCCTTTCGGGAAGAAAAGAAGGACTTATCTGGGGTGCATGCAGGCTTCAAATAGACATGACATGCTTCTTGGACTGGATGCCCGACCCGCACAAACTTTCCCAACTTCTCATAAACTCATTGACCCGTATTTCAAAACCAGGGAATCTTGCCAGGACTCTTTTCAGTGATGGGAGATGTCTTCTCTTCGGCCGACGGCGCCCTTTGCGGGTTTTCGCCAATCGACCCCTCTCATTTCTCTTCTCACCGTCGCCCGATAGTGCTCTTTACAAGTTTTCACTAAACTGACTCTCTCATTTTCGATTTCTCTACTCACTGTCGCCTTATGGTGCCCGTAGGTTTTCACCGATAAGACTCTCTCATTTTATTTCTCTCAATTTGATTGCATCAGATTCCAACAATGGTGTTTTCCGATTCCAACGCCTTTGCCAATTGATCAGAAGGACTTGGACAAGGTTTGGGTAAAAGAATCTTGATGGATTTACAACTTTGGAACCGTTCTGGTGGGCTCATTGCCGAGCCATTATATCATCTGCCCCGGTTTCACTTTTTGGGGGAATTGGGATTTTGTTTTGGTGTGACTGAACCCCAGAGAGAGACTGCCTACGTATCCTTTCAGAATCAAGTCAGACGTAGTTCAGGGAAACCATTTTGTTTTTTTTCTCTTTTTTTTTCATCATTTTTTCATTTTTTTTAATAGTAACTTTCGGGTTCCAAAGAGGGTAATCAAGGAAGAGTAATCGGCTCAAAGGGTTTGCGAAAGATGGATAGTGTTTGGATAGTAAGAATGAAAGCCTTCGTCATCCCAATTGAACAAAGTCATTGCTGCAGAAAGCCTAGACATAGTACCTTTTGACTGCATCCGCATTCACAGCTGCTTTGGGATCATTTCCTTCGATATCGCCCAGATACAATGCTCCTCTCGGCAATATCTTTCCGATGATGTATGGGCCCTTCCAATTAGGAGCAAATTTTCCTTTTGCTTCCTGGTGATGAGGAAGAATGCGCCTTAACACAAGTTGTCCACTTCAAAGCTCCTGGGTCGCACTTTCTTGTTATAAGCACGAGCCATTCTTTGTTGGTACAACTGCCCGTGATAGACTGCGGCCATCCGCTTTTCATCAATTAAGGTTAGCTGTTCCAGGCGGGTTTTAACCCACTCACTGTCTTCAATTTCAGCTTCAACAATGATTCGGAGGGAAGGGATTTCCACCTCCGCGGGTATCACGGCCTCAGTTCCATAGACCAAAAGGTATGGGGTTGCTCCTACCGATGTGCACACCGTAGTGCGATATCCCAGTAATGCGAAAGGCAACTTTTCATGCCATTGCCTGGAGCTCTGAATCATCTATCTCAAAATCTTCTTGATTTTCTTATTTGCTGGTTCAACGGTACCATTGGCTTTGGGCCGATAAGGAGTAGAGTTCCTATGCGTTATTTTGAATTGTTCGCATATATCTCCCATCAAATGACTATTCAAGTTTGCAGCATTATCTGTGATAATAGTTGCAGGAATGCCTAAACGGCAGATAAGATGGGAGTGCATAAAATCTACCACAGCTTGCTTGGTGACCGATTTGAGAGTGATGGCTTCAACCCACTTCGTGAAGTAGTCAATGGCAACCAGTATGAATCTGTGCCCATTTGAGGCTTTCGGCTCGATCGNAACTATCGAGACTTTGGACTATCCGGACACATACTTCGTGAAATGGTTCATGCATGTTTGTTGCCAGGAGCAACAAGATCAAGTTGGTAAGGATTAACGCTTCATTTCTATTTCTATGGTCGATGATCATAGAAGCCCCTTTACCATTCTGTATAAATGGGCTATTCTATTTGTACAGATAGGGTGGAGGGGCGCATTTAATCCTTGTTTATCTATTAGTTTTCAGTTCTTATCTTCGGCGCGGGGTAGAGCAGTTTGGTAGCTCGCAAGGCTCATAACCTTGAGGTCACGGGTTCAAATCCTGTCTCCGCAACATCTTGTTTTGCCAAACTATTTTAGGGTTGACTCTGTTAACTAGTAATTAATTCCCGCCTTTCGCTTTTTGGGGGTGGAAGGAAAAAGAAAACGTAGGGGAGGGATAGAATCACTACACTATCACGGCCAACTATACCAAATCCTTAATTTAAGGATATATTTAATGCTATTTATGAAATTAAATAATAAATAAATAGTAATAAAATTACTTTATCTTGGATCTTGGGCGGATAGCGGGAATCGAACCCGCATCTTCTCCTTGGCAAAGAGAAATTTTACCATTCGACCATATCCGCATTTTTTTGTTCTTGATACACAATATGTACCCACATATATGATATATAACCGGATCTTTTTTGTGCAGTGCCGGGACACATATTCTCTTCGGAACGATTCCAATTATTTTTTTATTTAATTGTATTCTTTTTATTCAAGAAGTTTGACCCCCCTCTAATTTTTTTGTTTTCTTTATTTGATTTGCGTTTTCTTTGGGGACTTAGATTCCAATTTAATGTGTCTCACAACCGAGAAAAATTAGGGGGGTCATTTTGGTTTTGGGTCTGCGACGAATAGGTTCAAGAGATGAGAGAATTAAGGATACCCACCAGAAAGACTAATCCAATCCATAAGGATGTACCAGAAAATACAACATTTTTGTTACTTGACCAGCCATCAGGAGAAGCAAATACAACGGGTACGCTAATCAATAAGATTAATGAAGTAGCAATTAATGCAAAAACAGCCAATTGGAAAGCAAGAGTCATGCTTTTAATCCTCCAAGCTACCAACAAATGAACTATATACCATTTGATCCCTCTATCAGCCAAAAAATATTAATTGTGATAAAATATGTCATCGAGGGATTTTACTTTATCATGAATCCATTGATTCCATATGACTTATTACTACTCCCCCTTTCGCACTTTATTCGTACATGGAGTGGGGTGGGGGGAAATGGAATTTTATTTTTTATTTCACAAATTGGCATGCTAGATCATATATCTATATACGGATAGATAGATCGACCGGTGGATTCGCACCTGAGATCTTTCTACAGATAGTGGGGGTATCCACCCCTATGGCCATGTTCTATTCGGAGGAATAAAATAAAAATAGTCTTTCGGAGAGATGGCTGAGCGGTTGATAGCCCCGGTCTTGAAAACCGGTATAGTTTTAACAAAGAACTATCGAGGGTTCGAATCCCTCTCTCTCCTTTTTTGCTAATTGAATAGATTTTTTTCTTTAGTGGTTTTGCCCAACCTGCTATCCGAAAGAAAAGGGAATGGCTCGGCTATCCCACCTAGCCAAGCCAGAAAAATAGATTAGATATAAGTTAGATAAAATGAATTGAAAAAAAAAAGAAAAAAGGAATACTTAGGCTGATTCCAAGATGTATGATTGAATCCAAGTGATTTTTACTTCATTCAAGCATTGGATCTCCTGTCTCATCTCAATTAAGAGGGTTCATGGAAAGAACAGGTTCAAAGTCACGATCAATTCCTTTTTCAAATCCTGCTGCAGCTGCACGAGCCCTTCCCGCGTGCCACAAATGACCTACGAAGAAGAAGAATCCTAGAACAAAATGAGAGGTAGCTAACCAACTTCTAGGAGAGACATAATTGACTGCATTGATCTCGGTAGCTACACCACCCACGGAATTTAAAGAACCTAAAGGAGCATGAGTCATATATTCTGCGGAACGCCGTTCCTGCCAAGGTTGTATGTCTTTTTTCAACCTACTCAAGTCTAACCCATTTGGACCCCTTAGAGGCTCTAACCATGGAGCACGCAGATCCCAAAAACGCATAGTTTCTCCTCCAAAAATGACTTCTCCGGTCGGGGAACGCATTAGATATTTACCTAAACCAGTAGGTCCTTGAGCGGATCCCACGTTAGCCCCAAGACGTTGGTCTCTAACTAGAAAAGTAAATGCTTGAGCTTGAGAAGCTTCTGGTCCAGTAGGTCCGTAAAATTCACTAGGATAAGCGGTATTATTGAACCAGACAAAACAACAAGCAATGAAAGACGGCTAAAAGCCCCCTAAAACTACTAAGATAAGTAAAGCCTCTCCAGACCATACAAGTGCGCGTCGAGCCCATGCGAAGGGTTTGGTTAAGATATGCCAGATTCCACCAAGTATACAAATGGAACCTAACCATACATGTCCTCCGATTATATCTTCTAAATCGTCCACACTAACAATCCATCCTTACCCTCCAAAAGGGGATTTTAGTAAATAACCAAATATGATACTCGGGCTAAGGGTCAAGTTGGTAATTTTTCTTACATCTCCCCCTCCCGGAGCCCAGGTATCATATACGCCCCCAAAATAAAGAGCCTTGAATACTAGAAGAAAAGCACCTAGACCTAACAAGATTAAGTGAATACCTAAAATTGTGGTCATTTTATTTCGATCTTTCCAGACATAACCAAAGAAGGGAAAAGATTCTTCAAGTGTCTCAGGTCCCAGAAGTGCATGATAAATGCCGCCAAAGCCCAATACTGCAGAAGAAATTAAATGAAGTACTCCAGATACAAAGTATGGAAAGGTGTCTATAACTTCTCCCCCAGGGCCTACCCCCCAACCTAGAGTAGCTAAGCACCTCAGCGGTGCTTGAGCCCTCTCCTGTCTGAACCATGTGGGTTTCATATAGTATCTTTCTCATTGCCCCACATATTTCTTCAATATCTTCGGCCGTAAAGGCCTCATCATCCTTTTCTTCATTGTACTTTGGCTTGACAAAGGTCTCGTACAGATGTGGCAGTGGTTGAGGCAAAACCCATCCATCATTCTTCCTGTCGTCCGCCCATTTTATATCATCAGGAGTAGGTTGGAAGCCTACCCCGAAAAACTTCTCAGTGGCGGGCAGGGTAACTGGTTCAGATATTCCTTGCAGGGATTTCCCAAGTCCTTTCCCTAGTTTGAAGCCCTGTCGGATCATTTCTTTAGCCACCATGATTGAGGCATTAGAAAGGAAGGGTTGAGGGCAAGGGTTTCCTTCTTCATACTGGTCTGCCACCACAACTTCAAAGGCCTGATAAACTATGTGCTCGCTTCCTTCTCTTGCTTCGAGGCATGGAACTGATGGGTCGCGATAAATGGATTGTTCATCTTCCCCGTGGACTATGATTTCTTGATCCTCATGCTCAAATTTTACCATTTGATGAAGAGTGGAGGGTACAACCCCTGCTGCATGGATCCATGGCCTCCCAAAAGAAAGTTGTAGGATGTGTCCATGTCTAGTACCTGGAAGGTCACTTCAAAGTCGACTGGTCCGATGGTCAGAATTAGATCGATCTCTCCAATCGTATCCCTTTTGATACCATCGAAGGCTCGTATGCAGACATTGTTGGGACGATCCTTCCAATCCCAATTTCCATACGCTGTAGTGTTGAGAGTGGGCAGATGTCCACCCCAGAACCTCCACCCACCATAACCCTTTTCACGTAGTATCCTTCAATCTTGACAGTTATGTGCAGGGCTTTGTTATGTGCAGCGCCTTCCGGAGTCAAGTCATTTTTGCTGAATGAAATCTGGTTGATAGCGAAAAATCTTTCCGCCATTCTTTCTAATTGCTCTACAGAGGTCTCAGCTGGCACGTATGCCTCATTGAGGGTCTTGATTAGTACCTTCTGGTGTTCGGGGGATTTCATCAACAAAGATAGCAAGGAGACTTGTTCAGGGAACTTTCGAAGCTGGTCAACCACTTCATAATCCGCCATCTTCATTTTTTGAAAGAAAGCTTCCGCCTCTTTGGCACTCACGGGCTTTTTAGCTGGGAAGCGTTTCCTGGTGGCTTTGTTCACCTCTTCCGAATTGGAGTACTTTTCCACAGGGTAATTTTCTTGAACCTCTCCTGAGATTTCCTTGCCCTTATACGTCACCACTGTTTTACGGTAGTTCCAAGGCACCGTGGAAGGATCTGTCATGGGCTTCTGTGGCGCGCGGCCAATAACCACGGGCTCACTCAGCCTTGGTGGATTAACTGGCCCTCGCACCACATAAGCTCCCTTGGGCACGTACATTTGGGTTTCCTTGTTCAGTTCAAACCTCCTGGGAGGACTCAAAGTCATCTGCTTTTCATTGCGGCCTCGAGGGACATAGAGAACATCATCTTTGGTGGGCGTTGCCCCAATTCCCGCTTCAACTTTCTTTTCTGATTTTGAATGGGTGGCTTTGTTTTTTTTCTCCCCTTTGTCTTGCTTCGGGACCGCTTTTGGTTTTATCTCTGCGTCAGCAATGGCAATGATAGCTTTCAATGCCGGGTCAAATTCCTTATCCTCACAAATCATTTCGATTACTGGCCCGTTGTTGTGGGCTGCCAGCGGGTTATTAGTCATATTGGGGACATCCTCATCCCTTAGCACTATCTTTCCCTGTTGTATCAAGTCCTCCACGGCTCTTTTCAAAGTCCAACAGTTTTCTGTATCATGCCCCTCAGCTCCTGAGTGATAAGCGCACCGGATGCCCCGTTATAGGAGGGTGATTCTGGGTTTTGCCTGTTTGGAGGTACGGGCTGCAGCAGACCCATTTGAATAAGCTTTGGAAACATACTGGAGTAGGGTTTGTGAGCACGTGATTTTTGCCTCGCTTGAATTATTCCTATAAAATTCATAAAATTAGGATTTTTCCGTTTATTATTTGATTTTTAGAATTTAATTGCATGATTTTGTGTTTGTGTGCATTTTACTTGATATAATTACATAAAAAAATATAAAAATAGCACATTTGCATTTAGGATCCCATTTTTATATTTTTAGGTTTACTAGTTACTTAACATTACAAGAAAATGAAAGAAAATAACCAAAAATAGTCCCTTTTTATATTTTTACTTTTAATTTTGATTTTTCCTTAGTTTTCTCTTAAATTAGGATTTAGTTAATTTTTAAAATTAATTAGTTTAATTCTAGAGTTAAAATCAGGTCTTTGCTCATTTTAATTTTGTACTTAAACAAAAATTAAAAAAAAAAAGAAAGAAAAAAATAAAGAGAGAAAAACAAACAAAAGAATAAAGAAGGGTTAATTAAAATGAAAACAGGCTGGCCTGATTTCTTAAGCATTGGGCCATCTTTTAAACAAATTCCAGCCCAGACCAAATTTGTCCCACACCAGGCCAAACCCAATACCCGGTCCAGTCTTTGTTATATCAAAACGGCACCGTTCAGTACCATCTAATCACGATCGTTGGATCTCATCAATCCAACGGTCCGGAATTAACTAGGTTTAGGGTATTTAAATGTCGGAAGCCCCCCTACCCCCAAATCATCGTCTCATACACCCCAAATATACACTACCGTTCCTCCACCGTCCGCCGGCGTCCGCCGACGGCCGGAAATCGCCTCCGCCGGCGGCAGGTCTCCAAATACTCCCAAAAATACACCATAGCTGCTCCTCATCCTCCTCATTACGAATCCAGACTCACTTTTCCTCAAATCCCCTCCAAACCCCTCGAATAACCAAAATAGTGGTCGCCGCCTCCGCCGTACACGGCGGCGCCACCTCCAAACTTCCCCAAAATCATACCCTAGGGTCTCCTCACCTTCTTCTTCCCAAATCCCAAACCAATTTCCCTCAAATCCAACCACAATCCCTCGAATTTTAGATCTAGGGTTTGGTTTATGACTGGTTTGAGTTTCAAAAGATGACCAATGTTCGAATTGGTTCAAATAATGCTATGTGTTTGTTCTTAGCAAGAACAAGCACATAATACTATTTGGGGACCAAGTTCAAAGTCAGTCAGGTTAGGCCAGAATCAGTAAGTCTTTTTTCTTGTTATCTCTTTTACTGTTTTGCTTATTTTTTTTAGCTTTTGTGTTCTTATTGATTTTTCTCCAGTATATAATTTAGGGAATTTCAGTCTGCTCCTTGATCTTTTCTGTTTATTTTTGTCTGTTCTTAAAATTTGCTTTTTAGTTTTGATTTTTCTGTTTATTTTTTAGTTTTCTTAGAATTAATGTTGATTCAGTTTGATTCATATTTTGAGTGTTGATTTTTCGATGCATGATTCAGTGATTCAATATGTGTTTAATTCTGTTTGTCTCCATAGATTCCTGTCTAATTGATAATGGCCTGTAGTTGGCTAATTTGAACCATTAGGGATTAATTTAGGATAAAAATTAGATTCAGTGTAATTTTTGAAAGTTTTTGATAATCGAAATGTTGTTGATTACTGCTGAAAATGCTAGGACCTTTGGTTAATCAACCATGGTCACTTCTTGACCAAGGTAAGAGGGCTGGAGGTTAGTATAACTAGGTAATGTAATTCAGGGGTAAGGGCAGGGTTAGTATAGGTATTTCAAAATAGAGAATAGTGCAGTAATTGGAATTGGAAACCACTAAAACCTTCTAGATGGGGTCCTAATTTGAAATTCAGGAAGTTGGTAGTGTTACATGGCTAACAAGCCAATAACTAAAGGACTAAATAGCTAAAATCTGAAAATAAAAGGGGGACTTAAAACGTAAAAGGAAAATCTAATGCTGCCCTAATTTTGCCTATAAAAAGGCATACCCCTTGCCTTGTTTGACAAGTTTTAAAAATCTGAAAAGTCTGAAGAGGGAAAAATCTGAGAAGTTTAGAAGTTTATAGATCTAAACAAATTCAAAAAAAGTTAGAGAGAGTTACGGATTTCAAAAATTCAAAGTGTTAGAGCTTAGAGAAATCAGAAATCTTAAGTTCCAGTTGCTGAATTAACATCTCAGCTTATATAAGGTTGAAAATGCCTTGAATAGTCCTTGTGTTTTGGTAGTTTGAAGTTTCAGAAGCTCCCGGGTTAATTGCTGAGTTTCAATTTGGTCATTCAAGCTGTTTTTTTTTTTGTTGTTTACTGGTGTTATTCGCATTGAAACTATTTCCTGGACTGCATGATACCATTTTCTGGGCTTGAAATTGNAAAACCAGTTTACAGCAGTACTAGAAGAGAATCCTAAAACTACTGAAAAAAATTCAAAAAAAAAATAAATTCAAATCCTAGAACTTAGAGAAATACAGAAAAAAATCCAAAAAAAAGACCAAATTCAAAATCAAATTCTTAGAGTGATCCTAAATTCCATTTGTTGAGTTAGCATTCCAGCTTATATAAGGTTGAAAATAGTTTGAACATTCCTGGTGTTTTGGTCGCTGAAGCTTTAGAAGTTCCTGGGTTTAATTCGAGTCTATTTTGGTTCATTCAAGTCTATTTTTGGTTATTTGTTGATGCTTTTCCTCTGCAATTCACTCCTGGGCTGCTGTGATACTATTTTGGGTTTAAAATTGATCTTGTTGCTGCTGTGTGCTGCTGAGTTACTCTGCTGATCTTCATTTGTTTCCTTTGTTTCAATCTCCAGGTATACTCTTAAGCTCACAATTGAGGATTTCTCTCTACATATGTAAAGGATCTGAAATTCGTGCTGAATGAAGAGGATATTGGAACTAAAGTGTTTTGATTTTATTGCTGTTTGTATTTCTCACATTCCTGAATTAGAATTAGCATGATACATGTTGATTTAGGCTTTGTACATTGAATTTGAGGTGTATAAAAGGACTGTGTACTGGACTGTTATATGGAAACATTCAGCACTTAAGTTCATGTTAATTTAGTTGAGTTGAAAGCTTCAGTAGCTATTTTCAGGTTCCAATCCATGAATAGGTTCTATAAAGTTGTAATAATTAAAGTTTAATTGCGATTAAAATTCAGGGGTAGGTATGCTAGTGCATCAGTTTATAAACAAGTGAAAGTGCATGAGATTTGAAGTTAAAATCAGCATGTAATTTGGTTTGATTAGGAGTTGAATTATTTCATTTTTACTGAAATGGCTAAGTCTAATTATATCTTAAATTCAGTGTTAGTTATGTTTGAATTAGATCGTGAGCAGTACCTGTTGTTCGGCTGTTTTAAAAAATGTTTCAGTTGCTTTAAATAGTTCTAGTGGTATTAAACACAGATTCTGAGCAGTTTAGTTGATTTAATTATTCTAATTGGTCCTGGTAGTTTTAAATATTTGTAGTTGTTCTCAATTGTTTCATTTCATTAATTTCGAATTTAAAAGAAGTTAAAACACAATTCAAATTCACTTTCATACTTGTTGGCTGCCCAGATGTTGAAATGGGCCTGTCTAGAGGCCCAAACTACCGATCAGCTTTACAGCTGAAGCGTTTATACGCAGGTAGCCTCAGAATTCCAA